GCTGGGCTGGTTAGGGCCACAATGGGTTAATAATGGGGGTAAAAAATCCCCTTTGGAGCAACTGGAAGCGCTTTTCACTGAGCTTGGAGAGGGGTCAGTGATGATCCAGGTGATTTGGATCAACAGTGAGGGGGGGACACCTGTGGGACCACCCTGGGTCTCCTCATGCCACACACCTGGAGCACATTTCCCCTCCGAAATTGTTCCCTCCCCTCTTTGGGTTTGTTCTGTCTTCCTCAGCAGAGGAAAAGGTGCCACCTACAGGCACAGAGAATCCATGGACGGAGAACACACAGCACAGCCCTGCCACCATACCCTCGGCTGGGCCACGGTGAAAAATGCGTATTTTATGATTGGCTTTTTGCAAATATTCAAATGAATATTACCTGTGTTGTGTTAGAAAGCTATGCTGTATTAATTTTTTAAGTAGTGTGTTAAATATAGTTTTAGGTCATAACATCATGTTAAAATAGAAACTATGCTATGTGAGATGCTTTTTTTAAAGAAAGGACTATCACTGAGATAGCAGCCACAGGACACCCAAATCTCTCAGAGAAAGAGAATTAATTGCTCCATTATCGAGTTCTTCCTGCCTTGCACAGCCCTGAAGGTTCAGTCAGGATTCAGAGGAAGAAGCTGACACTGCCCAGACAGAATCCTGTGTTTGAATGGAATTTATGCATCATCTGTGAGGTGTATGAATATGCAACAGGCTGTTGCTTTTAAGGGTTAATCCTCTGTTAACGTGGCTTCTTTTTTGGGCTTATTTTGCCCAGAAAGAGGTGCCTGGACTGTCTGTAACTCTTTGTTTTTATTGTCTTGTATTGTCCTAACCCAAATTGTCCAAGTTACTATTATTCTAATTATATTATTATTTTTATAATCCTTTTATTACTATTAAACTTTTAAAATTTACGAAACACCAAGTGATTGGAGTTTTTCACAGCCACCTTCCCTGCAGTGCCCTTGGAGCTGCTTGGTCCCTGTTTGGGGTCAGGGATCACCAGGGGGCTGTGCCAGGAGCAAGATGAGCTCCCTGCTGCCAGCCCTGGCCTTAGACCTGTGATAACCTCGCTGCTAACACAGTGAAATTCAAAATAAAAACCCAACAGAAGGTGACCACCCCTCTCCACAGCCTGGGGAGGACCAGCAGAGGAAACACAAAGGAACTTTGGGCAAGGGAATGCTGTGCCACTCACCCAGGGTCTCACACTGACACCCTGTTCCTCTTCTGCCTCGCTCTGCTCTTCAGCTGTCTCTCGTTTAACCCATTTTGATCAGGTGATTTCCATTTAACCCATTCCGACCTTTGTGATTTCAGGAGGCAAGCCAGGAAAACAAGAAGCTGCAGGAAGAATGGGATAAATTGTCCCCTGTGTGAGGTGGGGACAGGGGTGACAGGAGCAAGGGGACTCCTGGATGGCTGGAAGGAGGGCAAGTGCTAGTGATGCCTTGGGAAGGCTGAGCTAGAACAGAGACCAGACAGAGCTAAAGAATAAAGCAGGGATTTATGGAAAGGAACTCCTCCATGGATGCACCTTGGGCAGCACAACAGCCCAGCCAGGGCTGCATCCAAGATGGACCAAAATGGTCACAAAACGAACCCAGGATGAACCAAAATGGCCACAAAATGAACCCAAAATGAACCAAAATGGATGACTGGGCATAAGGTCTCTCACTTTTATAAGTTCTGCATATTGGAATTAATTGTCCAGTTCCAGCTTTAGCCCATGCAGTCCCATCCTTGTTTTTCTCTCTCCAGCCCACGGTGTTTGTGCTCTTGGGCCTGAGATTTGGATCATTTGTCCTTGCTCCCCAGCTGGAGCAGGAATTGTTTTGTCTCCCTGCTCTGTGCACAGAGCTCACCATCCCCTGATTTGAAGCCCAGACCCACACAGTAGAGCAGCACAGAACCTGAAAAATACAAAAACTAACAATTGAGGCATCATGAGGAACCATTGGGGAGCCCGTGGTGCTGCTGAAGGTTCAAGGTTGCCCCCAGGAGAGGAGGAAACCTCTCCCCAGGCCATGCAGGTGGGATTACTCCTCTGACAGAGCCACTCTTGCTTTAAAAACCCTTCTCAGCTCCCACTCTTGCCCAGGAATGCTGCAGGAATTCTCACCCAGAGCTCCTGCACTCCCCCGCCCTGGCGTGATGAACGAGGAGGAAAAGTTTCTCATCTCGGTTTGTTCTCGCAGCGCCGTCCAACAGAGCACAAGGCTGTCTAATCAGGAGCTACAGTCCTTCACCATCTGTTTGGAGCCTAATTACAAATGCAGAAAAATAATGTGCTTTACAATTGCACCAGTAAATGCTGTAAATGATTTAAATGCATGCATATGTTCCCTGCAGAATTCAGCATGCATCTGCGACTTCTTCTGCTCACATTAGGCACACAAATCAAGGGAAAAAATACCCAGATCTGATGAACAGCATGTCCCTAGGATGGTGATTTTTATCCCTTTTTTTTTTCCCCCTGCTGGAATGGCAAACAGGGCTTTTTTGTAACAATTCATCCAGCAGCGTTTTTCTTTGCTTCCATTTTAAAAACTGTTTATCACTGCTGTGTAAATATAGTACAAATTACTCCATAAAGCAGGGAAAAAGGAGAACAGCAGCCGGGCAAGCCTGCAGCTGGCTGGCAAGGTTTCAAAGGCAGGGTTTGTGTTTTTCCTCTGGGGGTGGAGGGGCAGGATCAGCTCAGCCCCAAGCGCCCAGCGGCCACTCGTGTTCCAGGGAATCCCAGAATGGTTTGGCTTGGAAAGGGCCTCAAAGATGGAGCAGCATCGCATTCCTGCTGCTCGTTGGGCACAACCAGGGTGCTGCTGAGGTGTTCCAGAGGTGCTTCCCACCGCCCAGGGGCCACGGCACTGCACCAGAGGCTCTGCCAGCAAAGGCACCATGCTGTCCTGGTGCCACAGATGGACAGGGACAGCATTTCTGCCCTGGGGACACTCCAGTGAGGGGGGACTCACTACAGGACATGAAACACCACAACACACACACCGCTGCTCTCAAGGCCAAGGAAAGGGAAGTTTGTTTTCTGACTCCAACATTTATAGATTTCCAAAAGTGACAGTGGATTGGAGGGTGACAGTGCCACCTCTCCAATGTGACTGTAGGGGTCCGAGGATGAGGGACAAGACGAGGATCTGACTCCATGGTTCAGAAGTCTTGATTCATTATTTTAGATGTATATTATATTAAAACTATACTAAAAGAATAGAAGAAAGGATTTCATCAGCAGGCCAGCTTAGAAAAGGAATGGAATGATAACAAAAGCTTGTGTCTCAGACAGAGTCAGAGCCAGCTGACTGTGATTGGCCATTAATTAGAAACAACCACATGAGACCAATCACAGATGCACCTGTTGCATTCTACATAATCATTGTTTACATTTTCTTCCTGAGGCCTGTCAGCTTCGCAGGAGGAAAAACCCTAAAGAAAGGATTTTTCATAAAAGATGTCTGTGACATCTCTCCAATGACACTGGACAAACCAGCAGTCCCTCAAATTTCTCCTCCTCCATAAAAGAATGCAAAACAATGAGTTATTTACAGAAAGTGTGTGAGAAAGTTTGCTACAAGAATGTAAACATCAGAAGGCTGAGAAAATCTTAAAAAATCAGGGTGAGAGAGGGCAGCCCAGGCAAGGCTTTGGAGAAAGCCACTTGCAGCTGATGTGAGCGTAGCTCACATAATAAAAAAATATATAGCTGCATAACAAATTGTAACAAATTCTCTCGTGCACACTTTTGTAAATAATTATTGCATTGCATTCTTTTTTGGAAGAAGAAAAATTTGATGAACTGTTGGTTTGTCCAGTGTTATTGGAGAAGTAGCACTACTATCCCTCCAATCTACTGGCATTTTTGAAAATCTATACATGTTGGAATCCAAAATTAAACTTCCCTTCTTTTTACCTTAAAAGTTCCAGTATCCATATAATTTTACTTTGTGTCCTATAGCTGAGGGCATGGGGTGATCACAGAAACAAAATCCGGGAATGCATTTTTAGGCAGGTGAGGGGGACACGTGGAGGCAGCTCAGCTCCAGCCAGGGTCTGTCTCTGGAGCTCAGCCCTGGGGAGCAACTGCCTCCCCTAAAGCTCCTGGAGAACTGCAAGGCAGTTTTTGTGCCACTGTCATGTTTTATGAACATCCCTTCACTAGGGTTTTTCTCCTGAGAAACCTCAGAAAAGAAATGTAAACAATAATTATCTGATTGCTTGGAATGTAGTTTGGAGGTTGCTTACCAACAGGTGCAGCTTTGATTGGTGTTATGTGAATTGTTTTTAATTAATGACCAATCATGGTTCAGTTGTGTCAGACTCTGATCAGTCACAAGATTTTATTATTCATTCTTAGCTAGTCCTCTGATGAAATCCTTTCTTCTATTCTTTAGTATAGCTTTAGTATATAATTTAGTATATAATTTCTTTTAATATATCATAAAATAATAAATCAGCCTTTGAAACATGGAGTCAAATTCCCATCTCCTCCCTGGTCGTGGGGAGCCTCAGACACCAGCACAGGTGTGGATCCCTGCAGTGTTGCTCCTGGCTAGAGCACCATTCCAAGCCTTGGAGCTGGGTTCCATGGCTGCTTTGGTTGTCAAAGATGCATTTATCCCAATTTATGCCAGGATCATGGGAGAAGTTTGGGTTGGAATGGATGATCACTTAGCTCCAAAGCCCTGCTGCCATGGGGAAAGAAAAACCTCAACCCACCTAGGCAGAAGAAGCAGCTGTATTTTCATTTTACCCCAGATGCAGCAGCCTCATTCCACCCTCCAGCACCATTTCCCTCCTCAAGGTTTCCTTACCTGGAGCTCCTTGGCACGTCCCACGCTGAGCAGGAATGTGGCTTCTCCCAGGCACTGCCATCACTTCCCTTCTGCTCTCTGCAATTCCCTGGAAATGATCCCTCAGAGGCCTGACAGCCTCCATCCCCACACCATGGCATTCCATGCCCACACCTGCTTCTCACCCAGTTTGCATCTGCATTGATTTTCCTCCTCACTTATTAACCTTCCTCAGCTGCACACCACCAAAACCAGAGGATAAATCCCCTTTTTGCTCACTCCCCCTGCCACAGGAATGCTCTCCAGGCAGTGATCTCAGGGCTCCTTGTCAGGGATCTCTCTGAGTTCACAATCCAAGCTGGGAGAGAGGGATGGCCACAAGGAAAACTGCAAGCTGGAACTGCATGCATCAGTGCACCTCCAAGAGAAATCATTCCAGACACCAGCAGTTGCACAGGATCAGGAATTCTCTTTATTAGCAACAGTACCAGATAGTTGAGCTCTCCCTGCAGAGGAATTTGGGCTGTAACAAGGAAAGGAGGAGCAGAGATGCAAAGCAGTAAAACACCAAGCCAAATCTCATCGTTCCTTGGACTGGGGTGAAATGCACGGGGTGAAGACAGGCTCACCAAAGACCACAAAGGGAATTTCTGGTTGCCAGCACCAGGCTGGGTTGGGCTTTTTGACCAAGTGCTGCATTGTTCCAGCAGCAGGGAGGGGATGGGAGCTCTGGCCCCAGGAGGGGCTCCCAGCACTCCAACCTCAGCCCTGGGGCAGTGACCAGCATGGATCCTGCTGCTCTCCCACATCCAGCAGCTCCAGCTCTCCCTGGGCAGGCAGCAGGTGCTGAGAGAGCACCCAGGAATGGAGCACCTGCTCCTAACCCAAGGAATCCATTTCCACAGCCAGCACCCCTGAGCATCACTGCACTGCCAAGCTCTGCCTTTAGATCACTTCACCTCTCGCAGAGCATAAATCCAGCCCATTTGAGAAAATAAACACAGCAATCGGATTTAGTCCAGGCTGTGCTGGCATATGGGAGTTTAAATGGCTTTAAAAGCCAGTTGTCTTTGGGTGGGCCATATTTTTGGGTGTCACAGTAGCTCACCCCTTTGAGAACATCTGGAGGCCATATGGTGCCTGTCTACAGGAATTAGGCAGATTTCTGCTGTGAACCTCATACCAGGGCCTCTCTCCTACCTCCTCCTGGCTTTCACAGAGAGCACAGACTGAAGACACACTAAAAAACTCAGGTTAGGCCCACTCAGCATTTCACTTGCCTTGGGGTCACACCACAGTCACAGCAAGAACAATGTTCCTCTCAGCTTGCCCATGGAATAGTCCCCAGCACTAGTGGCACCATGCTGGGAGGTAGATGAGCCCTCAGTTCAATTTTATGTGGAAAAAATTAAAGCAAGAAAAACTCCAAGTGGACCATTTTCCCTTTTATATACATATAAAAATTATTTTTGTGCAATGATTGTATGAAATCTGTGCAAAAATGTGCCCCAATCCCTGGGGCAGCTGCTATTTGTTCCCTAAGTTGTGAGCAGGTGCTCCAGGGCTCAAATCCCTTTTAGTTCAACACCACTATCACAGCTGAGTGAGGGGTGAGCCCTCCCTAAGACCACCAACCCCTGAAGGGCTGAACTCACAACAGTGCAGCACCAAGACCCAAGGTGGCCCCAAAAGCCCTGGGTTCAGTTTAAAGCCACTGGCACACGGGTAAGGGATGGTGTCCCTGAGCATCCTGGGGAGGATGAGGCTGTTTTGGTCCCTGCTCCATTTAACTGGGGAGTGACAGTGTCTGACAGAACCTTCCCAAGCACAGGAGATACCCCTTCCCAGAAGGGAAATATTCCCTCTGCATCCCCCCTGGATGCAGCTACCCCCCTGCCCAGACAGGCAGGCTGCCTCCAAACCCCAAACCCCCAAGAGCAGCACCACAAGCTGAGGGTATCCCCCCTCCCTGGCTGCCCCCTCTACACGAGGTGCACCACGAACACAGCGCAGGCAGAGCCCAGAGCCAGCCCCAGTACCAGGTAGAAGGACATGACCACCCCTGCTGCCTCGGCCAGCTCCTTGGGCACAATCTTGGGGCCATAGACCATGACCAGAGTGCCCAGGTAGCCGTTGCTGAGCCCCAGCAGGGCTGTGAACAGCACGGGGTAGATGTCCCTGTCGAACAGCACGGTCCGGACGTGAGCCCGCGGCTGGTAGTTGCTGAGGATGAAGAGAGGGAGGAAGATGGTTCTGAGGAGGACCAGGGCAGGCAGCAGCTTGCTCTTGGGGCCTGGCACCTGGATCCAGGCAGTGACCTGCCTGCCACACCAGTCAGCAAAGTTGTACAGCAGGAAACAGGTGAGGGGCGTGAAGTACTTGGTGCTCCAGGGGCTGCCCGAGGCTTTGCTGACTGACTCGATGTTGGAGGAGAGGGAAGGGAAGATGATGATGGAGATGAAGAAGACGTAGAAGAGGCAGAAGCCGAGGAGGGCAGTCTTGTGCAGGATGGGGCGGAGCGGGGGGATGCCAGCACTCCTTGTGAGGAAGGAGGAGGAGCTCCTGGGGCCTCCTGGCTCTGCCTGGTCCTCCACGGAGCCGTCAGGGGGCACAGTGACCAGAGAGGGGCTCTCCTTCTGGCTGCTCAGGTAATACCTGCAGAAAGAGACACAGGGGAGCATGGGGGAATGCAGCTGAGACTCGGAGAGAAGCTGGAGACACAGCTATGCCTGCTGGAACCAGCAACTCCACTGTCACATTTTCTGACAAATCACTTTGCCAGGATTTCATCTCCTGGGAAGATGAGGAGCCTCAGCTTCTCCTGTGTTTGCTGCTCTGAAATGTGGCCTGGAGATTGTTTATCCAAACATGTGAATTGTTTTCAACTAACAACCAACCACCATCAGCTGTGTCACACTGAGGATTCAGTCAGGAGTTTTTTATTATTCATTCTTGCTAAGCATTCTGTCTGTATCTTTTTCTTTAGTATAGTATTCTTTAATATAAGTACATAAAATAATAAATCAGCCTTCTGAGAACATGGGGTCAGATTTCTCATGCTGGGGACCCTCACAAACACCACACTCCACCATACCTGCAGCTCCCACCTTGCACAGAGAGGTGACCCCTGCACACGCAGCATCCCCTGTCCCCATCTCTCTGCACCCTCAGTGCTCACAGAGGGGACCCCTGTGCACGCTGCACGCAGGCCCTTGGGGGCTCTGGGGGCTCCAGGCACCAACCAGACCAGTGGCAGACAGGATATGGGGACACTCGTGGCTGGCTGCCCCTGGGTGAGGGCTCTCTGCTGACTCTACACATTTTGGGAGAGGCAGCACTGGGGGCCCTGGGAAAGCTTGGCAGAAACTCAGCCCTGGGCTGAAGCTCAGTTTCAGCCTGTGGTTTTGGTGAAAGGGGAAGCGCGGCTGGCGGCGGGGACAGGGCAGGGAGCAGCAGCAGGGCCAGTGTCCCATGGATCCCCAGCCATCCCACTGCAATCCCTCTGTGGGAGGCCCTGGCAGGCTGGCACCCACCTGGAGTACTCCAGCCGGGGCAGCAGCAGGTACACCACGATGCAGATGACGATGAAGATGTCGGCAGTGAGGAAATAGGCCAGGGCGCTGTCGGTGACGTCGGCCGCCGCTGCCAGGTCTATCACGGAGGCCACGGCGCTGATGGTGCCACCCATGGCCTGGCCTGCGTGCGCCAACAGAGTGGGCACAGTGAGGGACACACAGCAACAGGGGCACCCAGAAACTGCTCTTGTGACATGCACAGCTCCCCACGGAGCACTGCCCCACAGCTAGGGCACAAACATGCTCCTCTCCACCTCCACAGCCCAGGTGCCATCCTGCACCCCTTCCAGCACAGCTCCCCAGTCCTTCTGCTGGGTTTGCAGCTCCCCAGTCCTGCAGAAACAGCCCAAACCCTTCCCAAAGCCTAAACCTGCCTTCCCACCAGCACACACAATCAGCCTCCCTTCTGCACTCCCCCAGATGGGGATTCAAGGCACCAGCGGCAGGAATGCCATCTCAGGGATGTGGTGCTTTCCTTCCCGGAGATAAACTCATTAAAAACACTCCTGTCTTGGCCCCAGGAAAAATCTCACCCTCCTGATTTTTTCCCCCTCCTTCTCCTCTTGGTTTGTCAAGCATTCCACAGCATATTTATAATGTTATCAATGCTCCAGGGAGCTCATCACTCACGGCTCCCAAGCTGTCCCTCATCACTCATGGAAACGCTGATCAGAAAGGAGCAAACAAGGCAAAGCTGCTGGAAACGACAGGGCAGGGGGATGTCACCTCCTTCCCTCCTTTCTCCTCCTCCTCCTCCCTGCACCCAGCAGCACTCCAGGGTCACTTTATGGCTGTTTACAGAAACCAAAGCTCATGTGACCGAGCAAGTTTCTCCTCCAGCAACTTCCCTTTATCATTAGGGCAAAGTTAAGCTTCTGAACCAAACCCCCACATGACAAAACCCCCAGAGAGAAAACCACAGAGCCGAGCAGGGAAAGCCCACGAGCACGATCCCAGTGGGATCAGCCAACCTGAGAGCAGGGCCTGCAGGTTCCTCATGGGGAAGCAGCTGCTGAGGCCGAAGATGCTGCTGGAGAAGACGGTGGAGGCACTGCTGACCACGGCCACGCAGCCCACGGTGAGGGTGAAGAAAGGCGTGGTCCAGGTGGAGGTGTCCACCTTGACCAGCACGGTGATCACCAGGAACACAGCCAGCATGACAAACAGGGATGACAGGATCCGCACGCTGGCAGCAACCCTGGGCACAAGGGAGGGAGTCACTGCTGTGCCTCAAACCACAGCTGAGGGTCAAACACGGGACAGGGGCAACTCCTGTGCTGGCAGAAGGGTAAAGAGAATAAAGAGAGGTGGGAGCAGGTGAGGGAGCTGGAATCTGGATGTTAGCCATGCAAAGCCACGCCTGCAAGCATGCAGCAGTTTGATGTGGGATAAGGAAGGGTACAGATGAAGGCAGCAGGTTGTTTGAGGCTTAAGCCTCAACAAGGAGCAGCTGGTCCATTTCTCATCCCAGTTCAGGGGCTGGTAAGGCCAGGGCAAGGTGCTGCTCCTACCTGGATGAGCCTGGCTTTTGCCAACCCTGATGACAATAAAGTATTTTAAAAAGGCAAAACCTTTTGTTTCCAAGCAATTAACCAAGGAATTCATTAGGAATTCATTTACTCAAGCCAACTGCAGGCACTTGTGGAGCAAGGCACTTCTCCCACTTCACCTCAGCTGGCTGCAACTCAAGGAGGGGAATTTTGGCTGCACAGGGAGGCTGAGCTCAGGATGCCCTGTGGTTTCCCCCTGAGCTGGGAAGCTGGAAAGAAGACAGGAGCAAAGCCAGGGAGCAATGTGGCTGGGGTACTTGGGATCAGAGCAACACTTACTTGTTGACAAGCAAGAAGTTTCCAATCAGGCACAGCACTGAGGGTATGGTGGAGGCAATGGAGATGTAGCTCTCAAAATAGTCCTGCCAAGAAAAAAAACAAAACCCAAATAAAGTAAAGAACGTTGCAGGGGGAACAACACATGAATTTCAGGTCTTGAATATGACACAACAGGGAGTTATGGGGTGTAGGTGTCCACCTTGCAGTGTTGGAGCCCATGCTGCAAATTGCTCAGGGCAATGGGAATTCTGGGATTTGCCCTCCCATAGCCCTGGGACACAAATACAGAAGAAAAAAAAACAAACAGTGAAAGAAGGAGCTGTCATGGTGCTGTGCACCATCAAAGTGTGGCTGCTCCTCCTCCTCTCCTCTCCCTTGGAGGGGCTCAATCCCATTTTTTTGCTGCAGGAATCTCAGCCAGCAGGTAGGATGAAGCCCACAAACAGGAGGATGATCTACATGTCCACCCCTATTACACCAGGCTCTCATTTTCTGCATTTATCCAGCTCCAGAGATGGGGTCTCATCACATCCAACCAGGAGAAGGCACTTGGCAGGTTCTCTCTGCACAGTTCATTATTTTTTACAGCTTGGCATCATATTTAATCAGTTTACAAGCACATTCATCTCTTCTCTTCCTTATCAGGGGCTTCACTGGAAGCAACAGGAAATCTAATAATCACTCCTAGAGGGTCCAGATAGGCAGAGACTTAAATCTCTGTGCTTGTGGCATCAGCTCAGCCAAGCAGGAGGTTCAAAGCTCTGAGGCCACACGATGAATCAGGAGAGAAAAGACAAAGCAAAACACAAAGCTGGCTGCTAAAACTGCAGCTTATTTACCCACCTACTTAAAACAAACCTCCAAACCATCCTGGGGATACTCAGTGCTTAAAAAGTTAATTTGCTTCTGCTTCTGGGGAGGAAAAGTGACTTTCTGATGCTCTGCACCAGGCAGAAGTGTGCTCACAGTACATCCCAGGTAAATATTCATTCATTCCCACAAATGGGCTCACACCAGCAGTGAGGAGAGTGCTTCAGAGCCCCTGCACCACATTTTTAATGCAGCAGCAGAATGGTGGGTGGTAAATGCAATCCATGCCTGGACCAGTGGAAAAGATCAGGTTCCACACTCCTCTCTCCTCTTGCTGGGTTTTAATCCATGTGCAATGGCAACTCTTCTCCCTCCCTGGGTTTTCCCACCCTTCACGGATATGCCTTCATTTTTGGCACTGCAGGACATATCCAGTTCTTCTCCCTTTCTGCTGAGCCCTTCAAATAAACCCCAAAGCCAACCTGACATCTTCCTCCCTCCCACATGCAGGTCTGATGGGGAAAAGTGTCATCATGGAGGTGTTTAACCCCACATTAACTCCAAACACGCTGCCACTATGCCTCAAAAGCCCCAAACCAGAAAAGAGCATCACTTTACTTCAACCCAGTCCAAATACAGGTAAAAGGCATGGCCACAAGATGACTTGAAGCATCTTCCCTGTGGCTATTTTGTAAATAAATACTGAATAAACTTTTCCCTCTGGGGCAGGGGAGACCCTGGAGGATGTTCACCAACCTTCTGGGGAAATGGAGGAGGAAAACGAGCCTGTTAGGAAGAAGGACAGGTGATTTTTTCTGCCTCCAAAGCAGCACTCACCCGCAGGTCCGAGGCCGCCTGCCCCGCCGGGCCGGGCTCATCCGAGCAGTTCTGCAGCTTGTACCTCCAGTAGTGCTTGGCCGTGATGAAGAAATTCCAGGGCAGGAGGGAGCCGATGCCCAGGAGGAAGAATATCAGGTAGGCGCCGTGCCAGCGGTCCCTGGGCTTCTGCAGGCTGTACCCGCTCCGCACGGCATCCTCCAGCAGAGGCTCCTGGTCCGGGGCAGGGCTGCTGCCTGCCGGGAACATCGTGCTGGGAAAAACAACAGGGACATTGTCACACCAGGGTTGGGACACTGTCACACCAGGGCCCTTCCACTATCCCAGGCTGCCCCAAGCCCTGTCCAACACATCCTTGGGCACTCCCAGGGATCCAGGGGCACCCACAGCTCCTCTGGGCATTCTCTGCTAGCAGCCAAACACTGAAGGAGCGAGGGAGCGATGGGAAGCCACGGGGAAAGAGACTCAGCACATACCACCCGCAATTCCACCCATAATTAATAATTAACCCGTCCACCCTTGGACTTGCAGGAGTAAGAAACCTCGCTCAGCTCATGCCACGCTCCAAAAAACACCCAACAGCAGCTGCCAAACCCGCAGCGCCGTCGGGCTCGGCAGAGCAAGGCGCAAACTCGTAGTAACGCGGCTGGGCTTTCGGAAAGCACTTGTAAACCGCTCGTAAACTACTCCAGCACCAGCGCAGCGCGACGTCAGCCGGCCGTGACAAATGACTCACAGAGACACACGGCATCATCACCAGGCGCAGGAAAAACACCTGAAAACGCCGCAGGAGCCGGCCCGGGGCACCGGCACCCTCAGAGCCTCCTACCCCGGGGCACCGGCACCCTCAGAGCCCACCGCGGGCCAGGCACAACGCGTGGGAGGCGGAAATGCCGGAAACCGAGGATTTTGCGGACAAATAGGGAATTTCGACAGCGGGGAGCGCCGCTCCTTCCCTCCCCGCAGCCCCCCGTTCTACCCACGCGTCCCCGCTCCGCCCGGCCCCGATACCGCAACACTTACGGGGGTCCCGCCCGGCCCGGCCGCCTCCGCCGCCTTAGGGCTCTGGCCCGCCCCGCCCCGCCTTTGAAGAGAAGGCCACGCCCACCAGCCATATAGACACGCCCTCACAGTGATTGGACACGCCCCTATAGGGCTTGGCCGCGCCCCGCAGGAAAAAGGCGGGAGGTGCGGGCTGGCCACGCCCCCTCAGGACTGGCCACGCCTCCTCCGTTCCAAATACCTGTAATAAAATGGTTATAAAAATAGCAATATAATTCGAGTGATATTAATTTGGACAATTTGGATTTAGGACAATATGAGGCAATAAAAACAAAGAGTTATGAACAGTTCAGGTGCCTTTTCTGGGCAAAATAAGCCCGAAAAAGGTCCCATGTTAACAGAGGATTAACCCTTAAAAGCAACAGCCTGTTGCATATTCATACACCTCATCCAGGATGCATAAATTCCATTCAAACACAGGATTCTGTCTGGGCAGTGTCAGCTTCTTCCTTATAATCCTGACTGAGTCTTCAGGGCTGAGTGAGGCAGGAAGAACTCGATAATGGAGCAATAAATTCTCTTTCTCTGAAAGATTCAGGTGTCCTGTGGCTGCTATCTTAGTGGGACTACCTCATTCCTCTCTTTTTAAAAAAAGTATCTCACATAGCATCGTTTCTATTTTAACATTATGTTACAAACTAAAACTGTATTTAACACACTACTTAAGAAAATTAACACAGCATAACTTCCTAACATAACACATATAAAATTCATTTGAATATTTGTGGAAAGCCAATCAGAAAATACGCGTTTTTCACAGGGCCCGAGTTCAATGTGCCACTGCAGGGATTTGGGGGGGTTGAATTGGAAGGGGAGATAGCAAACTAGGAGTTTCAACGGGAGAAGGAAAGGGGGAATTGGGCAGAGTTGGACCAACCTGGTGTGATGTCCCATGGCAGGGACAGGTGGAACAGGACTGTCTGTAACACCCTTTACAAGGAAAACAACTCTGGCAGGGCTGGGCATTTTCCTGTGGCTACGTTATGATCGCTGTGCTGGTAGGGCAGCGGTTTCATCCCCATTTTTCCTCCCTGCCTGCAGAATTCCCGCTCCTGTCCAGAGCACGGACAGTGATGCCATCTCCTGGTGGCAATGAGGTGAGCTGAGTGGCCAGGCAGGGACAGGGGGCTCCTGGAGTTCCCTGCAAACCCTCCTGGCTTACTTCCTTGCTGGGACTTTACCAAAATAAAAATTCTCTCACCCCCAGCCAGTGTGGATGGTCAGTTTGCACATCTTTGCTCTTTGTTTTAGTGCATGGAACTACTTAGAACATAGACATTAGCTCAAATAATGTATTACTTCTAGTACAAAAATAAAAATGTTCATCATGCCATTGATATGAAACATGCAATATGTGAACTGTAGGCATGCAATGGAATAATTTTTCTCTGTTGCAACCTCAAACAGGGAATGTTTTGACCAGGTACGTCACCTCAGAATCTGGGCAAAAGCCATGGAGTAGTGAAGTCTTAATCATATCCAAAATCTCATCTTTACTTTTCTCCTGGAACCTCCCTGCAAACCCTTCTGGCTTTGTTCCCTTGCTGGGACTTCACCAAAATAAAAGTTTACACACCCAGTCAGCCAAGATGGTTACATATTTGCTGTTTGTTTTGGTGCATGGAAACTACTTGAAATGTAGATATTAGCTCCAATCATGTATTGCTTCTAGTACAAAAATAAAAATGTTTATTATGCCATTAATGTGAAACATGCAATCTGTGAACTGTAGGCATGCCATGGACTAATTTTTATTTGTTGCAACGTCAAACAGGGAATGTTCTGACCAGATAGGTCACTGTGACTGTTGTATTTTCTGCAAAAATCCCTTCGCCAGGATTCTTCTCCTGGGAAGCTGGGAAGCCTCAGAGAAAAATTAACACAATAATTATCTGATTGCTGCTCCTGTGTTTTGCTGCTTTGGAATGTGGTTTGGACATTGTTTACCAACAGGTGATTGTTTCATTAGTTTCATGTGAATTGTTTTGACTTAATGGCCAATTGGGGCCAAGCTGTGTCAGACTCTGGAAAGAGTCATGAGATTCATGACTTCTTTTAGCCTTCTGTCTGTATCCTTTCTGTATTCTTTAATATAAGAAATAATAAATTAGCCTTCTAAGAACATGGAGTCGGATCCATCATTCCTTCCTTCACCTGGGAACCCCACAAATACAAGAGAGGGATCCCCAATCCCTGCAGAGGCCAAATCCAGCAGGAATGGTGAGTGATGAACAGCAGAGTGGCAAGCAGATTAAGCAGATGGTTTCCTTTTTTTTGTTTTTATTTTTTTTTTATTATTAGACTAGGAAATATAATTTATTGCATAAAAATTAATTTGTTACAATAGGAATGCTAAACTTTATTTACAGTTCTTTAGTTTACAGAACAAACAGACGAGGGTTTAGAGGATGCCACTGGGCCCATCCCCTGGACATATAAATATGGAAAACACATTTTGGGGCAAGAGATGGACACTGCCAGACCATGGGAATGCCTTGGCTGGAGGAGCCCCTGGGAGGAGTGGAGGAGCAGGCACCCACGGAGATGGAGATGGAGGCAAACCCTGCATCCCCCCTGCCCTCCTGCTCCTGGTCAGGGAAATGGGGAGCAGCTCCCCAAAGATGCACTTCAGCCAAGCCAGGGCATGCTGCCTGCCCAAAGGAAGGGGATCAGAGATGGAGAGGGATGGAGAGAGGCACCCACGGGCAGGACGGACAGACACACACACATCCCAGCACAGTGATCCACAGAGCAGAGAATGGGAGCTAGAGAGATTCCCAGGTGACCTGAAGGAGCTTCTCATCCCTCAGAGAGCCCCCTGGAGCTGAGGAAGGAGCCCTGGAGACCATGGGCAGCTGGATTGATCCACTGAGTGTTTATTGCTCTCCAAATCTGCTCTTTCTTCTTCCTTAGCTCAGAGGGTCTCAGAAATGGTGAAATGCAACCCAAATGACAGATGAATCCCTTCTCATGGGGCACAGGAGCTCTCCTAGCAGCAGTTTTCCCACCCAGCACAAGGGGAAAAGATCCCTTCTCTCCCACAGCCTTGAAACCCAGCAAGGAGTGAACCCCAGGGACCCTGAGACAAGCAGGGAGCAGCTCAGAACTTTCCAGCAGGGCCTCAGGAAATGCCCACAGGAATGCTGCCATGTCCCAGCTAATACTTCCACTGTCATGCTCCTAATACTTCCACTGATGGGGAACCCACAGCCTGGCAGTGTGACCTAGTCTAATCCTGAGCTTACCACCCCCTTCCTATTTTTTTTTAGTTTTTTTTTTTAACAGACAAATTTCTAAGATACAGCACTCAGTGAGTAACTATTTCTACCTGCAGGCAACCTAATTTTTTTACCTTCATCAAGACACCGTATCTGACTGAGGAACCTCGTTCCTGCCTACCACTGGGTTACTTCCCACTCACCCCACAGCTTCCCCATTGTTATAAAAAACCTGTTCCAGGGAAAAACAGGAGCTGCAGTGAGGGATGGAAACCTGAGCACTCCTCCTGTGAAACTGCTCAGCCTGGTTGGCAGCTTGGGAATACCAGAGTATCTCTCCCTGAATGCGTGCTGGAATACTGCATCAAAATCCAGGCAGGAGTGCAGGGACCTGAAGTGGAGGCAGTTTGAAGTGGCCACATCCCAGCCTGTCAGCCCCTGCTCTCCCCTGACCCCTCCACACCCATTTATCACCTCCCTCTGAGCCCCAGCCAAGGTTTGGGGTGCTCACTGCAAAACCCTGCTGGGTTTACAACACGCCGCCCTTTAGCCTCGAGTCCGGAGGTTGGCGCAGGACTGAAATCTTTGGTTTGTACTGAACTTGTGTAAATGAAGGCGTAGCCGTCCTAAAAAGCTCCCCCAAACCATGCCAGGGAAGAATTCATTAAAAATACCCAGATCTGGATGCACTCTGCCCACCCTGAACCCTAAATCCAGGGCAGCATCCCTCATCCCTCCTTGCAGGTGGAGCGGGACCTGTCATTCCCACTGGAAAAGGGAGTTTGCAAGGACAAAAGCCTTGGGAAGGGTCTGAGCTGGCCCTGAAGCAAAGGGGTGGGGAGGCACTTCAACCTCTGGACTCCCTGGGGGTCCCAGGACATGTAAACATGTTTTCCTCAACTTGGATCACACGCTTTTCCCTACAAAAGTGTATCCATTGAAATCTCTCTCTGCCACCCTGACCACAGCGACGCTCTTGCTCTCACACACCAAAAAAAAAAGAGATTTATAAATCTGTCTTTTTTTTCTTTTTTCTATATTTTTTTTTTAAAAAGGACACATCCAAAGATCTGGATAATAAATTATTTGCGTTTCCTAAGAAACTCTTTTTTTTTTCTTTTTTTTTATCTTTCCTATTTGCCTCGTTAAGCTGCCTGAAGCCTTTGACAGAAGTTAAGCCTGGATTGTATTCATCTCTTCCACACAGAAATGCTATTAAAGGAGGAGGAGGAGGAAGGGAACCCAAAAACAAGAAGGAAAAGGAAAGCCCCCATCCCATTGACTCGAGAAGCCCTAATTCCTCCCCGTGCCACGAGGAGGAGGAGGAGGAATGCTGTGTAACACTTGGATTGCTTGTAAACGCTGAGGATGGGTCTCTAAGGCTGACAGTGGTGCAGGAGAGGTGCCCTCCCCGCTCAGGACGGATGTGCCTCCCCCTGCCACGGGGGGAGGACCCTTCCTCAGCCCCTGCTTCGTCCTCCTGGCCCCCCAGGCGTGGGGAGCAGCATCAGCAGTCCCCCTCCGTGGCCATGACCACCAGCATCTCGCTCTTGCCCATCTCCTCTAAGGCACTGGCCAGGGTGTTGAGGTCGCCGTCGTCCTGGTGCTCGGCTTCCCACAAGTCCAGGAGCACCCCTGTGGGGCTGGCTTTGGTGGCAAAGTAGTTCAGATACCTGAAAGGGAGAAGCAGGAGAGGGTTGGGCTGCTGGGGTGCCCCTTTGGAGGTGGCAGGAGGGAGGATGCTGGATTGTCACAGACATGTTTTATGGAAAATCATTTCCTTAGGATTTTTCCTCCTGAGAAGCTGAGAGGCCTCAGGAACAAAATGTAAACATTGATTATCTGCTGCTGTGGAATGCAACAGGTGCATCTTTGATTAGTCTTATATAGTTGTTTCTAATTAATGGCCAATCACAGTCCAGCTGTCATAGACTCTCAAGCTTTTGTTATACATTCCATTCTTCACCTTTCACATTCTTCTGATGAAATCCTTTCTTCTATTCTTTCAGTACAATTTTAATACCATATATATAATAAAATAATAAATTGAGCCTGCTAAGACATAGAGTCAGATTCTCATCTCTTCCCTCTTCCTGAGACCCCTGTGAACACCACCACAGTGAACCTGTTTGGAACATGAATTTGGATGGAAATGCTGTAACGTGAGTGCCAAAGCCCTGGAGAGACTGTCTGCAGTTTTTAGACAGAGCTGGCATTCATGCAAAAGCAATGTAAGCTTTGCTTTGCTGAAATGACCCTTTCTCCCTTAGGTCCTGGGGTGAAACCAGGTGGGAATGGCACAGCCATTGTCCCAGAGAAACAAGGGCCATTCAAAGGGACAGGAGACACAGGACTGTGGCACAGATGGATGCCAGAATAGTTTGGCTTGGAAGGGACCTTCAAGATCATCTAGTCCCAACATTTCCAGGGTGCTCCAAGCCCTGTCCAACCTGGATTTGAACACTTCCAGGGATGGGACAGCCACAGCTTCTCTGGGCACTCTGTGCCAGGGCCTCACCACCCTCAGGGGAACAATTCCTTCCCAATATCTCATCTAAACCTTGCCTCTTTTAAAATTTAAAATCATGTGCAAGGATAGAGATGGATACAACATATCCCCATTTATGGATGGACCTACACAGCAGGACACAACCCCTCTGGATGTCTGCAGCTGGCAGGGAGCACAGAGTGAAGCCTCCCAGCTGGGGAAAGCAAAGCCTGGGGACACCCACCGGTCCATGGAAAGCTTCTGGGCGAGAAGTCTCCAGTCATTGCCCCTGGAGTTGGGAGCATCCAGGCTGTTGCAGATCTTCTGCCGGATGGAGAGGGGGATTTTGAAGGCGTAGGGTCCCACCTGGGTGGTGGAGGTGGAGGTGGAGGTGGCACCGCTGTGGTGGGAGCGGAGGGTGTCGGAGGAGCTGCCATGCTGGAAGAGGAAGGACAGGGTGAGACGTTGGGGAAATGTCCCAGCGTGTCCCCTGGTGCCTCCTCCCCTCCCCTCCCCTCTGCTCACCTCTCCCAGCGTGACGTGGAGCTGGAAGATCTGCCCCTCCCCTTCCACCTGCCGGACGCAGATCTTGCAGGTGAGCTCGGTGGAGGCCTGGCTGTACCTCTCCAGGGTGAAGGTGCAGTGCAGGGCTCGCTGGCTGCCGCTCCAGATGTGGTAGAAGGGGATTTCCTGTGGGCCAACAAAGCACGGGCTCAGCCACGGCTCCAGCAGCTCCCATCTCCTCCAGCCACCCCGTGAGGGGTGAGGTGGGACAGCAGGACCTTGTGGGAATCCATAAAATCAGAGGGTTTTGGGAAAGCTGCAGAAGGCAGACCTCAGAACTGTGATTAGAGCTAAGCAGCAGCCATGAGATTGGTCAGCAGAAAAATTATAAAGAAATAGAAAAGTAAGGACAAAGTAAGGTCTGTGTATTAAGGTGTCTAGAATAGTCAATATTCTTATCTAGAATAGCTCCCTAAGCTGCAGAAGAGTATATCTAACTATATCTACTTTTCTAGTATATCTAGAACTTTCTAATGTCTTTAGACATACTTTTCTAGTATATCTAAAGACATTAGAAAGTCCTAAGCGTAATAATGGAGCTCTGTGCATTGTGTTCTAAGGCTCACAAGCAGGTATTTTATTTGAAATAAGCAAGCATTGTTTAACCAAAGGTACGTGTGCTAATGGTGGTTGGATAGAAATACTGTCAATATAGAATACTATACAGATATAAATACTGTCAATGTGCTTTTGCTTTGTGTGATTGGTCTAAAAACTTATAAAATGAGTTGTAACATTAAGTTCTTGGTCTGCTGCTGGGGATGTGAGCTGATAACATCTTCCCATTGTCATAACCATGTAATGAGGCTGATGCTGGAAAATCAAACAGCTCAAGGCACGTTCCTAGCAGTTTGTGATTTGTACAGAGACCCCAGCCAGTGACAGACCTCACAGAGAGCATCCCACCAAAAAGAGCAGGAAACCAGTCCCCTTTTTCCTCTAACCCTTTTGGGGGACAACTCTGCTCCAGAGCCCCGTGGTGCCTGGCTGAGATGGAGCTCCTAGTGTGACAGCCCAGCTGCCCCAGGCCAGCCCTCACCTGGTACTTGGCCAGCAGTTTGCTCCTCCACAGCGCGTGCGGGATGTCGTGGATGGAGAGGCGCAGGTTGTGGTAGCTGTCCTTGAAGGGCAGGGGCTTGGGCTCCTCCAGCAGGTACCCTCCCAGTGTCCTCTCCAGCTCCAGCACCTCCTGTGGGCACCACGACAGGCAGGGTGAGAGCCAGGAGAAGGGCAGGGGCTGCTCCTCTGCCCAACGCCATGCCCAAAGCCAGGATGGATGGGGGAGAAGTGTTGCCAAGAAGAGACAGCATGGAGAACAGCTTTTGCCACCCCAACAGAACTGGCCAGCTCATCTCATACACCAGCCCCACCTAAAACTTGAATTTCATAATGTGAGCATCTATAAATGTCTCCTTGGAGGATACAAAGCTCCAGCACAATGGTCAGGCACTCCCTTGAAGGGTGCCACTCTATCTGCTTTTAACACCATTCCTTCAGCACACCAGCAGCTTTTAGGAGAAAAAGACAAAGCCAGGGGCCAGAGCCCCGCCTGCATCCACACCTAGAGGCACCACATCAATCCCAACAGGCTGCACTGGACAAGTCACAGGGAACCAAAGAGCCCCAGCACTGGTGGTTCCAGGCAGCCAAAGTATCCAAACTCCAGCATCCCGTGATGCACTCAATGTTATCTATGACATAAAACCTGTCACAGACATCTTTTATGAAAAATCCCTCCTTAGGATTTTTCCTCCTGAGAAGCTGTGAGGCCTCAGGAACAAAATGTAAACAATAATTACCTGCTGCTGTGGAATGCTACAGGTGCATCTGGGATTGGCTCATGTGGTTGTTTCTAATTAATGGCCAATCACAGCCAGCTGGCTCAGACAGAGAGTCCAAGACACAAGCATTTGTTATCATTCTTTCTTTTTCTCTTCTTAGCCAGCCTTCTGATAAAATCCTTTCTTCTATTTTTTTAGTATAGTTTTAATGTAATATATATAATAAAATAATAAATCAGCCTTCTGAAACATGGAATGAGACGAGATCCTCGTCTCTTCCCTCATCCTCGGACCCCTGTGATCACGGTCACAAAAACCCTTCCAGGGCAGGGAGAGACATGGATCCCTGCAGGATCTATAAAAACCTGCCCATCAGCAGCCAAACCTCTCGTGTAATGCCTGCAGGAGGGGTCCCAGCAGAGGAGCTATACAAAACCCTCCCTGTTTCCTTCAGAGAGGACAAGGAAGGACAGGCAAAGCAGTAAACACCTCATTATTTTACTGTGGTCACTTTGCAGGCAGTTGCATCAGGTTGGCTGCTCCCAAGGGCCAGGCCACCCTGAGAGGCACCAGGCAGCATCCTGCTGCCCGCACAAACAGCTTTGGGAAGGGGATATTTACCTTCAGAGCATCTGGTGTGTCCTCCAAGCAGTAGACCTTGAGGCTGTACTCCAGGGAGGTGCAGACAGTGGGAGCAAAGATGGCCAGCTGCAGCCTCTTGATGGCTGACCTGGAGTAGGACTCCCCCACAAAGACATAGGTGCCAAGCTGGTCCAGCAAAATGTGGCAGGACTTGGCTTCCAGCTGGCAGTAGCAGGGAGTGTTGAGGGTCTCCTCATCCAGGGTCACAACTTCCTACAGAGATGTCGCAGACAACTTTTATGAAAAATCTTTTTCTTAAGATTTTTCCTCCTGAGAAGCTGTGAGGCCTCAGGAACAAAATGTAAACAGTGGTTACCTGCTGCTGTGGAATGCAACAGGTAGATCTTTGATTAGCCCATGTTAGATATTTGTAATTAATGGCCAATCACAGCCCAGCTGGCTCAGACAGAAAGTCCGAGACAGAGCCTTTGTTATCATTCTTTCTTTTTTTATTCTTAGCCAGCCTTCTGATGGAATCCTTTCTTCTATTCTTTTAGTATAGTTTTAATGTAATATATATCATAAAATAATAAATCAGCCTTCTGAAACATGGAGTCAGATCCTCGTCTCTTCCCCAATCCAAGAACCCCTGTGAACACGGTCACACAGAGACACCAAGATTGAGGGATGCTGAGGGATGCTGAGGGATGCTGAGGGATGTCAGCCCATCATCCGAGGGGTTGTGCCTGCCCTCCAAGCCTGCCCTCTGCTGGCTGCAGAACCTGCGTTGCCCCCTTACCTCCCAGTTTCCCTGGTGGGACTGTGTTTTCAGCTGGTAGATCCAGTCCGAGGAGGCGACGTCGGCGCAGTGGGGAATGGTCAGGACAACGGGGCGGCAGAGGAGCAGCCCTGTGGGCCCACAGCTCACTGCAGGGCTCAGCACGGTCTGTGTGCCCTCAGAGGGCAGCCTGGGGAGGGACAGGGACACAGGTTGGACAGGGAACTCCGTGGTGGCCATCGAGGAGGGTGGGTGGCCAGTGGGGTGACTTACAGTGCAGTCTCAGCCTTGTTGAGCACCAGGTACATCTCGTAGAACTTCCCCTGGGGGATGGCCCCGTGGGGCACCAGCAGGCTCACCCCTGCAATGGCACACACAGGGCTCAGTCACGGGCAGTGAGGGAGAAACCACCCTCCACCCCAACCAGAGAGCACAAGGAGAGCTGGGAGCCAGGGCAGCACGGAGAGGAACACCTCCAGGTCACAGAAACATGGAATGCTTTGGGTTGGAAGGGACCTTAAAGATCACCCATTCCTACTCCCCCTACTTGGGCAGGGACACCTTCCACTATGCCAGGCTGCACCAAGCCTTGTCCACCTTGGCCTTTCACACTTCTGGGGATCCAGGGGCAGCCACAGCTTCTCTGGGCTGTCCCATGGCTGCACGGCTTGCAGGCACAAACCAGGCCAAAGCTTTTCCTTCACTAGGAAGGAAAATCCTAATCTTTGGGGGTTTTTGCAAGGTGCTGGCCCTGGATCAATGGCAGGGAAAGACCAAGGCAAGCCCAAGGAGGCTGTAACCTCCAGCCTGAGATGCCTGTCTTGGGAATGGCTTCTTGCCTTCCTTCCCTGAGCCACATTTGGGACAGCAAAGAGCTGTTCACACAGGGACAAGGTGATGGTCCAGCAGCCACACAATCCCAGCCAGCAGCTTACCTGTGCCTGGCACGGTGAGCCTTCCCCCCAGGTAGCCAAATGTGCCACTGGCACTGTAGCCATGCTCCCGGGGCAGGCTGAGGAGGTGCTGGGAGCCCAGGCCTTTGCTCCTCACGTTGGCAAAGTGGCCATCCCTGGCCATGTCCCCCGGGTAGGTGCCAGTGGCAGGGACCCCCCCCAGCAGGTCTGTGCCATCGTGCAGCCCCGGCGAGGAGGAGGAGGCGGTGGAGGAGTTGTAGACCTTGATCTTGAGGCTGGGCAGGGGGTCCAGCAGGGGGGAGTTGGTCATGGGGATCTTGTCAGAGGAGTCCTGAAGGGCGTACATGGGGCCGCGGTACACGCCCGCGCTGGCCGTCAGGTCCGGCTGCATGGATGGGTGCAGCAGCTGGGGGTTGTCTGCAGGGACACCAAACACAGATGGGGGATGAAGACAGGGGTGGAAACAAGGGCATGGAGAAGTACTGCTTGAATGGGAGACAGCCCAGAATGGTTTGGGTTGGGTGGGACCTTCTCATCTCATTCCAAAGCCCTGCCATGGGCACCAGACCAAGCTACCCTGATTCCCACCATCAACACTTCACCACTCCCACTTCAGCCTTCAAAATTCAGTATATTCCCTTGGGAAAACAAGACTGGCAGCCCAGTGAGGATCCACTCTCTCCTGTAACTTTGTTTCTGCTGGCCCTAAGGCTGGTGAGGACCTCCATGGCTCTTACCATGCCGGGATGTCTTGAAGTTGACGGGGTGGAAGCCCCCGGTCAGCGCGGCCGAGGAGTCGGTGATGTCCGTGTCGAAATCCCGGCGCCTCCTCCGGTACACCACCACCCCCACGGCCATGAGGATCACGATGAAGACAAAAATGGCCACCACCAGCCCGGCGTACAGGGCCACATCACCCGTGGCCTCCAGCACTGAGGGGGATTAAAGACACGGAGGTGAAAAAAGGGGCAGCAGAAAAGAACATCAAGACCCGCCATCGCTCCCCAGTCCCACCACTGACTCAGGTGTGGGTGGAAGGACGTGCCCTGGGCCTGCTGGAAAGGCTGGGAAGAGGATGGAAAGTGTTTTCCAAGAGTAGGAAGTCAAGATCAATGCCAGAGAATGAGATGGAGGTGAAGCCCTTAGATCTTTTGAGGACACCTGGCCACAGCTCGTGGAAACTTCACCTGAGCACCAAGGGTCTCAGAAACGTTGGGTTTGTGCAGCTCAGGTTCATGAAGCTGTGACAACTCTCACATCCTAACAGGACAACCCACAGGAGTTTTAGAGTGGGCTGTAGTTGCTCCATCTTCCCACCCTGTCCTTGCCCAGCTGCCAGGGAATGCCTACCATGAATTCAACAGAACAAAACCACAGGAACAAACAAACAAAAAAAAAGAATGGCCATGAAATGAGCACTTACGGTGGCTTTTGGGCTCGTTTAGAATTCTTTTATCTGTTAGGAAAAACAAAGTTAGAAAAGAAAAAGGTGAAGGTGATGATGGGGATGAGATGAAACAGAAAGTGGGAGGTAAGCCAGCCCAGGGTGGCGGGTGTGGGAAATCAACATCATTCCCTGGGACATTCCAAAACCCAGGTAAAAGCATGGTGACAAGAACATCCCCGTGCCCAGGAAGTAAAGGGGACAGTGGTGTCACACAGCAGCAGGTGGCAGCATTGGCTGCCTGCAACATGCTCACTCACAGGTAGCCGCACCATTACCATCATTATAGATTTATTTCTCAAAAAAACACCTCCAGAACTCCCAGCAGTGAGCCAGGGAAGGTGTTTTCATGGTGTGGCTGAGAAACCCCACCTGTTGCTCTGCCTACCCACAACCAGCTTTATTCCAGAGAGACATCAAACCTACAGCGGTGGGACAGGGGCCTCAATGCCAGCAGCACATTCAGATCCCCCAAAATCCCCAATATCTCTTCCTCCAGGTAAGAAATAACTCTAGAAGGGGCAAAATATGCTTGAAAACACCTTTTTAAAGGTGTTTTCAGTTACCACTTAAAACTCAAGTGGCAGCGGCTACTCCATCAGCTTGGAGGCACAGCCAACAAAGCGTGGCCAATGTCAGAGCGCCACAGGCAGAGTGGCATCCCCTGTGGCACGTCCCCATGCCCGTGGGCACCCTGCTGGGTACTCACTGTGCAGGCAGAGGCCGTCAGTGCAGTTCTTGGAGTCCAGCAGCACGCCGCTGCAGTCCTTGCCGCCGTTGCGGGGCGCAGGGGCCGCGCACTCGCGGCTGCGCCAGTGGGTGCACTCGGTGCTGCACGCCGACCACTTGCTCCACTCTGTCCAGGCACCATCCACTGTGGGCACAGACACAGCAGGGTCAGCAAAACCCTCCCACTCTGGGGACTGTTATCCCAGTGCTCCTAAGGAGCAGCTTGTTCCAACCCATGGGCAGCGGCACCTTCCAATAACCCAGGGTGCTCCAAGCCCCATCCAACCACTGACCACTTGCTCCACTCTGTCCACGTGCTGTCCACTGCAGGGTCAGCAAAACCTTCCCACTTTGGGGAGTGCTCCTAAAGAGCAGCTTGTTCCAACCCCCTGCCTTGGCAGGGACACCTTCCCCTATCCCAGGGTGCTCCAAGCCCCATTCAACCTAGCCTTGGGCACTACCAAGGATCCAGGGGCAGCCAAAGCATCTCTGGGCAACCTGTGCCAGGGCCTCCCCACCCTCACAGGGAAGAATTTTTTCCCAGTATCCCATCTAATCCTGCCCCTATGAAGCCATTCTGAATCCTGTCTGTGTCAAGCCTTTCTCTGTTCTGCTGCCACTCCAGGCCCCTGTAAATAAACTCTCTCTGTGTTGCTTGTAGGTTCTCTTGAGGTACTGGAAGGCTGCAATTAGTCCACCTCAGAGCCTTCTCTGGTCCAGGCTGAACAATACCAACAATCCCAGCCACAGGCAGCGTGGGCATGGCCGTGCCTGAGCCCTGCTCACCTGGGCAGAGGGTGGTGCAGGTGATTTTCTGGAAGGGCTGCCCGTCACAGAAGGAGCCGCCGTTGAGGGGCGCGGGGTTGGTGCAGGTCCGCGTGCGCTTCTGCCAGCCCCGGCCACAGCGGTTGTTGCACGGAGACCACTCAGACCAGGTGGACCAGCCACCATTCACTGCAGAGGACAGGGGCAGAGTCAGCTCTGGAGCCCAATCCATCAGCTAAGCCTCAGGCAGGAGCTAAGCCTTGAGTTCTTATACCTTCAGTGACCCCCTTTACAGCTCAGCCTCATGAACAGCAAACCACAAAATTCCCTCTTGTGTCACCACCCCGTGCCCGAGATGCTCAAGACTGCTTTGGTCCTTTTTCCACTTGGCAAATATTTTTTGTGTCTGGCCCTGAGGAGATCTTTGATTTCACAGCAAAGTTCAGCCAAATACAGCTTTCCAGCTGCTTTGAGAGTCAGAGCAATCCATCTGGATCCAACCTCCATCCACCCTCTCACCTGTCGCAGACAACTTTTATGAAAAATCCTTCCCTTAGGATTTTTCCTCCTGAGAAGCTGAGAGGCCTCAAGAACAAAATGCAAACATTATCTGCTGCTGTGGAATGCAACAGGTAGATCTTTGACTGGCCCATGTTAGATGTTTGTAATTAATGGCCAATCACAGCCCAGCTGGCTCGGACAGAGAGTCTGAGACAGAGCCTTTGTTATCATTTTTTGCTATTCTATTCTTAGCTAGCCTTCCGATGAAATCCTTTCTTCTATGCTTTTAGTATAGTTTTAATGTAATATATATCATAAAATAATAAATGAACCCTTCTGAAACATGGAGTCAGATCCTCATCTCTTCCCTCATCCTCAGACCCCTGTGAACACCGTCACACCTGTGACTACCCAGTTGAGAATGCTCGGAAACACCTCCACCCCTCCACCTCAAACCTCTCCTTACTGCCTTGGAAGCCATTGGAGGCTCCTGTTCTGCAGATATTGGTTATCACCATGCACTAATTCCCTCCTAGCATTCCCAGAAGTGCCCACAGTCCCCCTTGGCTTGGGGGCACAGCCAGCACCACAGGTCCCCTTGTGGGCCGGTACCATAGACGATGACAGCGGCCGTGGTGCTGCGGCGCTTGGCCACGATGTTCTTGGCCATGCAGGTGTAGTTGGCAGTGTCCAGCAGCCTGGCCTGCTTGATGATCAGGTTGTGATCGATGGTGATCAGGAAATTGGTGTCCTGGCTGGGATCGATGACGTCCTCGTTCCTCAGCCACTCCACCTGGCATGAAAGGAAGGGATGGGGATTAAGCCATGACCAAGATCAAAGATGTCCTCAGCACTTTAACCACTGAATGGACAACTTTGCCTCTGACTGGATTTATTTCTCCTGGAAACTGGGCCAAACCAGGCCTGACTGGGGCATGTCACTGATGTTTTGGCCAAGGATGAGACGCAGTGGCTCCCTTCAACACACAGCTCTCAGTGGCTGATGGAGCTTTGGGCAAGGAAAGCTCCACTACCATGGCAGGAAAACCCATTTGGACTGATTTTCCCAGCCCTCCCCTCCCACTGGTGACTGCTTCCATCCAGACAACTCCCTGGGTGCATCCTTGCCACACCTTCCCTCTGAGGCACCTCAGGAAGTGTGGGAGAGAGTGCTGCCCAAAATAAACCATTTTGCTGAATGAGAGCTGACAGGAGATCATCTGGGATGGGATGGGATGGGATGGGATGGGATGGGATGGGATGGGATGGGATGGGATGGGG